TTACAGTTGAAATGGCTAAATGTAACCATAAGTTCTATGCTAACAGTTTTTTCTATTGCACTTCTCACTTGTGGAATTCTCTTTCAGCTTCTTGATTCCCAGTCACCTTTGATCTTCAAAGATTTAAATGCAATGTCTATTATTATCTTCTGTCTTAATTCTTTTTCTTTTATTGTTCTCTTTCCTAGGGCTTTTTTTTTTCTCATATTCTCTATCACACAGTAACACCATGTGTGATTTTATTGCCTTGCTTGGGGTGAAATGGTAAAAAAAAAAAATGGCCTGGTACTCCTGCTATATGTTTAGAGATCTTTGATAAAATCCAAAGAAGAATCTGCAATGATGTTAGACCTGACATCTCAGTTTCAGCCATTTTCCTATTGCCATAATGTAGCTTCTCTGTGCCTTTTCTATAAATACTTTCATGGTAATTTTTCTGTTGAACTTTCCACTATGGTAACTAGACTTTATGAATTTAAGTGCAGTACTAGATTGGCAGCAAGGTCTCATTATTTTACAGTTGAAGTTGTTAGATGTAACTTAAGTTTTATGCTAACAACTTATTTTCTCACTCATGGGGCTTTTTTTTTTTTTTTTTTTTTTTTTTTTTTTTGGCTTCTTGCTTTCCAGTCAACTTGCATTTAAATTTTTGAAAATCAATGTCAATCATTATCTTTTATCTTCTTGATTGTTCTTTTATTGTTCTTGCTCCTTAATAATGTTTCTCATTTTCTTATATCCTTTTCCACTCTGTAATCCCCCCTGCATCTTAGTAGTTTTATTGTTTTGCTTGGAATTTATTAAAATTAATATATCTTTTCTTGACATGATATACAATAGATAAAATAATATAAGACTTTGTTTTAAAACATGCAATGAATGCATTTAAGTGTAGAATTTTATAAAATCATAATGATATCTGGATTGTTTGATGTCTCAGAAGTCTTTCCTTGTTTTTAGTATAAATAATGGTCATATTATTTTTGTCATTTTAATGAAAATGTTTGATTTCCAAAATTTCAGTATTACAATTTTTTTTTGTTGAATTGCAAATTTATGCTGCATTGGTCAAAGTAAAGCAACTTTAGAAATCATTTCAGATTCACTTTTAACATTGTAGATGATGGAATGCTTAAAAAAAACAAAAATTTGTTCAAATTCAGTGCATTTTTATTTTCTATATCTATATTACACAATTTATCAACTCACATTTCAGTATGTATTTTTTTCTAATTGATTTTAATCTTGCTTTTAAAATCTATGTATGTAAAGTTTTAAAAAAAGGTGATTTTGCCTTATAATATTGTAGGCATACTCTCATTAAAAAATTTTATCTACATAGGCAACATCTCTTACACCCAAAACACGTTTATTTTGGTATAATTCAGATTCTAAGATGCCACTATTAATAATCAAGGTCAAAAGTTAGTTTTATTTAAGCTGAATGATCAGAGGTAGCAAGTATTATATATAATGATCATTATTATTACTGGACATTTTTTCCATATAAAAGCAGTGGTATTGTTTTTATTGTATTGTGTCAAACATGTGATAACTAAATAATACTTTTGTCTCATTATGGCTTAACTACTACTTTGTACTGCTTGTCTTTTTATGATCATATGATTTTTATCAGCTTTTACACTAAGCATCACAAGATCTGATCACTTGTTTTTTTGGGGTTTTTTTTTTTTATAGCTCTTCAACTCATGTAGTTTGTCAAAGATGGTTTAGATTTTAACCTGATTATGGTCCTTTGAATTCAATAAAAAGTTGCAAAACAATATAATACATTCTGTCAAAGTTAATGATCTGAATCATTTGAAACTGATAATATTAAAATAAGAATTAAATGGAATATTGTAGTCAGATTACATATTAAATCTAATTTCTTTATGATAAACCAGTCAAACCACAATTTATATGTAAACCTTACATTTTAACTCTTAAGTTACTTAAAATATACATTTTGGACACAATAGTATTTTAATTTTATTTCTCAGTTTCTTAAAACTGACTGGTGTTGGTCATGTATCAGAATTTTTAACATCTTCCATCAAACTACTTATTGCTGACTGGAATTAACCCCCCCCACTTCAACACATTGAGTAGCATATATTTATATATTGAAGATTTATCACAATCATTTCAGGTTTACATAAATTAACTAGATTGATTGGCTTAATATATATTAAAAAATGAGATGTCAGATTGCTTTATAGATATGGAAAGTGATTATTGTCTTTTGGGTTCATACCTTTTGATAACACATTGTAATTAATAATGTTAATGTACAAAAGCACTTCTGCACACTCACATACTGACTGAAGTTCATATTTTGCTGTACTAATAACTATGAATCTACCACTTATTTATTTCAGCTGAGTCAAGTATTTTAAGGGAAATTAGTTTTTTTTGTTTATACTGGTGGGCATATACAAGAAAATAATTTTTGGTGTGGGGTATATGTAAACATTTTTTTTTCTAATGTAGAAGAGTCTGTGGTGAAAGTCACTAGAGAAACATTCTGAATCAAAGGTCAAGATTCTGCTATTTGATATATTTGTACTGGGCATAACTTTCAAATTACTAAATGTAACCAATTAATAATTTTATTATTATGGAACTAATTTATAGAATCTTTGCCACTCTCTCTCTCTCTCTCTCTTTACTTCCATTAACCTACTTTTTTCCTTTTCAACATAACAACTATTGATATTTTAACCAGTTAAACTCTATAATTACTTCAAATGCTAAATTTGAACACAACCTGTTGGGTACAAAGTAACATCATTTGTAGAAATTGGATCGGTTTGGTTACTATTGAAGTTATGAATATAACTAATAGCAATTCTATAAGTGTTTGTTTCAAGGTTTTGTATGAATGTGCATAGAGAATTCTACAGTTGTACTTGTAAAGATTTATAATTAAAACTCTACAAAAAAAAACTGGACTGTATCTTTTAAATAGACTTAGGAAATCTAGTTTAACAAGGGTTTGATCAACCAAAAGTGATTGTTTTGTAATGAATAACATTTACAAAATTGTCATTCTATCCTATACTGAGTGTTTATTTTCATCACTATTTTGTAGGAACATCTTAGATTACCAACTCAATTTTGAAGCTTTCACCTTATTTTATCAATCATTTCAAGTATAATAAGAGAAAGAGCGGCCAATTTAATTGTGATCTTCAGCAAAAGAAGCTGAATAAATATATATAATTTTGAATGTTTTTAGCAGATGAAAATGAGATCTGCTTCTATCACTTAAATGACTATAGTATAAACAGGTAAATGTTTTAGTTACAGATGTTTAATATGTTTTGATTTACTTGAGGATTTTATTTTTAGAGAAATAAAATCAAGAAATGAGCAGCAATTGGCACAGCTTTTTGAACCTGTGACTTAGACTAATCTTCAGAGATATTGAGAACTTCAAATTGCCTTTTGCTTTGACATACATACTGATAGAAACTAAAATGTTTTACAATTTGACAATTATATACTTTTATCTAAATTATGAAGAGCTATTTTCATACAAATTTTAGCATTTGTAGCTAATTCTATGGAATTAAAAGTAATGTTTTAAAATTTCAAAATAAACTTTGTTCCAAATTTTATTTGCCAATATCTTCTTAAAAATTAAAAATATATGTATTTTAAAAAAATGAGTGCTACATTTTGATCTTAACTAAAACATTTTGACAAAGACTGAGAAGAGATCTTTTTAAATTTTTTTGTCTTTCTCTTTATATTATAAAAGTTAAATACATGCAGAATAAATAACTCAGCTGACTTGAAAACTATTTGAACAATGTAAGTAGCCAAATGAGCATATATAGTAAAATAAAATTAAAATAACTTTCACCAATCTCAGTGACTAGATTATTCTTATACAAGACTAAACTTTACTGGAAAGCCAATTGATGCTATTAGTAAAATTAAGTTTCTGTAGTTTTAAGTTCAAGCTAAATAAATAATCTGTGTTCTTAATACCCATGATTCTTGCTAGAAATAGTTCTAATAGTAATGAGCAGTAGAAGTTATAAAATGTATCCTACATGTAGATTTTGCTTGATATTGCTTAAGTAATCACATTTTCATGCACTGTAAAGCAAGAAAATCCCTTGAATTGTTTTGTCAAGAGAATTCACTTTACAGGAGAATACAAAGAGCTTGCTGGAATATCTTTATCTGCTTAAGCTATATACCAGTATGCATACTAAATGTCTTTTACACTTGGTAGTTATATGGATATTAAGATTAAGGAGCAAATAAATATGCTAATTGAAAGCCAAGTAGGAACATACAGTGTCTTGTACATTAGGGTAAGTTAAGTGCTAAAATGGAAAATATTTCAGGGTTGTTAAAGATCAAACTACTTATCAAGAATAGTTTTTGTTCCTTTAGCTGCAATTAGAATATATATCATAATTCCTCAATATGAACTCCTCAATTTTGAACTTTCTATTAAAAAAAAGAGATTGCTTAAATTATGGCAACGTATTGATCATTCAGAATATTATTCATTATATTTTAAGCAGACTAAAATGTTGCATATTTTTATCTTGGCTTCATGCTAGAAGAGATTCTCGAAATTTGGACAAGAATATATCAAATTTTAATAAGCTAAAAAGATAATAGTTCTGTTTCCTATAGAAATGAATGCAAAACAAATGCTTAGTATTGGGTTAATTAACTCTGGGGAAAATACCAAATGATAAATACTTATCAGAGGACTACTTCTTAATATTGATTATTCTTTAAAAGTGAGCAAAGTTTTGCTATTAACAATGATGCTTGGTTCATTAATGTCATTCATTCCAAGTTTCATTATTATTTACTTTGATAATCATGTAATAAAGTATTTTCAAATATTGTTTGATTTATGGTTTGAAATGTCTAGTTATACACACACACACACACACACACACACACACTGAGTAACTTTACGTGAAACCTATTTGTATGTTTTATTTCACTTTCTTCTCTTTCAGGCTTCATTCTTGACCAAAAAGATCAATATTGGTGGCAAGAGAGTGAAATTAGCAATCTGGGTAAGTGTTTTCTTGAAGCTTGAATTTTAATTAAGCTCACTTAATGAACATCTGCCTTTGACATCTTTATCAGTGATTACTTTATCCAAAGTCTCAGTGTTATGTGAATTATATACTGTATGACTGTCTCATTCTTGTATTAAAGGTGACGATCAATGAAGTAATCTTTTTTGTTTTATAAAATAATACTTCCCAGTAGCAAGCTAATTTGTTATTGTTTTTCTAACTGTTTAATAGATCAGCTCTTCTCAATTGTGACAGCCAATATTATGGAAGCTATTTTCTCTGCTGTTCATGAAGTAAAATTAGTTAGTCAAAAAGGAATGGTTATATCCATAATCTAGGTTCTATTGATTATAGAAATAATGTTTTCTTATTTTAAGAAAAAATTATTTCTATAATGCAAGTTCTGTGTGTTTTTTACCATAAAAAATATCAATTTTTATAATAAAAAAGATAATATAGATTAATCTGTATTCTCTATTCACATTAAGTAAGGGTTTGATCATCTTTTTTTTTTTTTTTTTTTTTTTTTTATCATTTCACCCCAAGCAAGGTGATAATGCCACTAAGATGCAGGGGGTTACTGGGAGTGAAAGAGAATGAAAAGACTTTAGTGAGAAGAAAGGACAATAAAAGAATAGGTTTCAAGGAGACAGAAAAAATAATGGAAGATTGTTCTTAGGAAGACAGAAGTTGGTGATTGGTGTTGCATTTAAATCTTTGAAGATCATGTGTGGAAAGAAAGCAAGAAACCAGAAAAGTTTCACTGGTGAGAAGTGAGAGAAAAGAAACTATTAGAATAGAGTTTGTGGTTGCATCTAGAATCTTTGAAGAAAAACTATACAGTATTTTAGTTTTGCATTTCTAACTACTTACCTGTTATAAATTTACAGTAGTGGTTTATTTCTGTTGGATCTTGATTAATTCATATATATTTTTAAAGGAAAAGATTTCTAAATGATCCTCTCTCTCTCCTCCTTCTCTCTTAGTCAACTTTGCGTTTATAGAATGCTCAGCAATGATAATGCTCACTCCCTAAATCATCACATTAACCATTATACTAAAGCTGGTCTTACTCAAACATATGACTGCTTCATCACTTTCTCAATACCTAGTTAAAATCTAATAAAGAGTTCATTCTCATTTCTACAGCAATCAGACAAATTCAATACAATGTTAACTTATGACCTCATTTGATATATATTAGCAAAGTTTTGCCATCAATTTCAGAAGAAAAATTTGCATATGATCTAAAATTGGGTGTAAAAACAACATATATTAACTCTAAGGAAAATTTCTTAATGAGATTCTTTTCATGATTCACATCCCTCCTATGATAATGCTGTGAACATGAACAAGTAAAATATGCTTTTATGGAAGACACTTGTAAAAAATCATCATCAGTCAAGATTTGTAATTTTTTACCAAGATTTTCTAAAACAAAAAATTTCAAAAATAATTTCATTTGTGAATAGGTTCTGAAAGTTTCATTAAAATCCCGACAATTATTTGATTTTTGCAAGAATTTCCAAATCAATGTGTTTTTCAACAGTTCATTGTAAAAATTACTTATGTCGCTGATATAAAAAAAAAAAAAAAAATTTTAACCAAAATTTCGAATGTGTTAGAAAGGTTTAAAAATTTCTTAAAATACTTTGGTCTTTCCTCTTAATAATAGGATAAACATTTTGATGATAAAACTTTGTTTTTATTAAGTTTGGGGCCCTTTTTCATCATTCTATGCTGTTTTTCTAGCAAAAAGCAAACATGCCTAGTCAAAATGTTTAGGAAAGACCAAAGTATTTTTTTTTATTATTTTATTAAATTTTTTTAATCCTTTCTAGCATGTTCACAATTTTGGTTAAGTCTTTTTACATCAGTGGTTGACATAAAAATTACGATTTGTGTTTTTGTACTTTTTACTGGTGAAAAACACATTGATTTGGAAATTCTTGCAAAAATCAAATAATTGTCAGATTTTAATGAAACTTTCAGAACCTATCCACAATTATTTTTTAAATAATTTTTTTAAACTACTCATTTAACAAAATCTGTCCTGAATTGTAAACTAAAAAAATGCAATAAAATTATCTAATTATTTAATTAGAAATGCTTTTAATTGCTTTTATAAATGATATATTGCAGACAGAAGAAAAAAATTTTTTTCCAATGAATATTGAATTTTTACAAAAAAATTTTTATTTTTTAAAATTTTATAATAAATTAAAAATCATTTAAAATTCTAAATTATTTTCTTTCTTTTAGGTGATATTGTAATTAAGTAAAAACTATATTTACTAATCAAAAATTGAAAAGCTTAATAAAAGTCGTTTACCACTAATATTTTTAAAATAATTTTTTTCTTAGTTTAATCATTTCCATTTTTGTATATATGGTAGTCTATACATAACATTATTAAAAGGTCACATGTTGTAAGAGTTGTTCTCCCTTTATTGAGAAATTCACTTGTCTGCAATTCTTTATTCATTTCATGTTTGTCTCAACAGGCCTTGCACATCATCCCTTCGAAGTTTTAAAACATTAAAATAAGTTTAACTTTTTTCATTTCTATTTTACTTTATTTTATGTTCAGTGCAGGTCATACTTCAATGGAATAATTTTTTTAACTTCTTTTTAGGAAGAAACAACCTAGAATTTTTTCTTTTTTTTTGTGTGTGTGTTAGTAGTTTTTTTTACTTTTTTACGGATTTTTCTTTTTTTTTTTTATAGTATTTTAAATCTTATTATTTTTTCAGAAAGCATCTTTAAAAGTAAGGCTATAACACTATAGTAACTAAAAGTCAATAAAATATTAAATAATCACTGAAAACATCGACAATACTACTTTCATTTTTTAAAATTCATTTTAAACCTTAGGTACTGAAAATTCACTGGATGTGCCTAGTTTTATTGCTTGGCTTTATATTAAAAGTTCTATCTATCAACCCTGTCTCTTTTACTTTTTTTTATTTCTGCCATAGATGGCTAGAAAATGTATAAACATGTGAACAACTCCTAGACATTTGGCCAGATATCATCAAATTTGTGAACTTAATTTAAAAAAGCAGAAAAATGTCCCCCAGATCAAGTCCTTCTCTGCAGTGCTGTCAAATGTGGATCACGTTTTATTTCCAGTGAAACTGCAGATTTTTGTGTCTGTTTCAAAGACATTAACCCATTTATGATAAAATATCAGTGATAAGCCATTGCTTCCTTTACTTTGATATGACTCTTTAGCATGATCATGAAACTGTTAAGATTTGTAAAGGAATGTTACGAATGCAGATAGCCCATACACGTATATATTAAGGTTAATCTCCGCTTAACAACAGAAGAGGTCACGTGGGAGTCTCAAGTCATTTTGGGGAAGCAGGTCAAGAGGTTGACTGACCCAGTTATCCGTAGCAACAGACGTCAAGACAGGGGACTGACTGGAATTTGCGCCAAAATGCAGGACACGTGGGAATTAGAAAATTACTTGGAAGTCAGTTGCTGTCTTGTCTTTGAAGGAGCAAGACTCAAAATCGAAGCACTGATAACTTATGAACAGAAAGATGACTCATTTTGGTAATGATGGGACTTGTCCGATTCATCATAAGCAACTCCGGATAAGAAATATAAGGATGTATATTTCTGTTCATCAACTCCAGATTGAAGAAGATAAATAAAGTTATTTATCACAGAAGAGCATGGAAATTTGCACGCTGAGAATACAGCCTGTGTTTGAAGAAAGAAAAGAGAAATCAAGAGAGAAGAAGTATATATCTCTGTTGCAGCCGGGCCGTGTTTAAAATTGAATTTGTGTAAAGAAAAGAAAGAAAGAAAAGAGGAAACGTGACAGAGAAAAGAAAGAACAATGAGTAAGAGAGAGAACTGAATATAAAGATAAGTAACTATGTATTTTGGATCCATGTTAGAAAGATACACATGCATCCATAAATTTTATATTCTCACAAACACCTTTCCACATGTCAAAATAGTAATATATAAATCCTATCCCATCTCCTTTTTTTTTTTTTTTTGGTTATGTGTTGATTTCTGCATTCGTAGTTATTCATACTTATTTTTTTTTTTTTATCCATTTGGGTTCAGTCGAATCCACTTGGATTTGGGCATATTTTGGTATCCCAACATAAGTCTTGAGGTTCTGGTCATCAGATGCTTTACTCATGCTTATATTTTTCTTTTGTTGTAATATCTTGTATATATGTATATATTAAAATTCTTATACCAAAATTTATTACGCCTCATCGTTCATCCTTGAATTGTGGATCGGTATATGTGTTGAAACTGAAGCGAACCTGGGAAAAGACTACTGTTTGATTATCTCAATCGAACAGTCTTCTTTAAAATATTTTGTTTACTAATTGTCCATTTGTCATGATCTGGGAGAGATAGCCCATATCTCTCCATAGACGTGATAACGTATATATCTCCTGGTCGGCGTATGATTGCATTATAAATTATTCGTCGAGTAGGGCATATGACAAGGAAGAACACACTAAAAAGATAATTACATTTTCCAGTCTGAATGAATTTTGTCAAACCCAAACATGCCTAACGATGCTGCAAAGATAGTGTGGATTTCTGGCAGATAGAGCTATGCAAACTTTATCCAAAAAAAGGACATGTATCAACAAAAGATCTTTTTGCATGTAGAATTGCAACAATGTTCATCGCCATGATTGAGAAACTCTTATCAAAGTCTCCCCTTAGATGCCCTCTTGTAAGGTCACTTGTGTGGCTGAACCCTGGATCCATTTGTGGAAAAAAAAAAAAAAAAAAAAATTACCACAGAAGACAATCTAAAAAGATGTCTTTCTCACTTGGACAGAAAACAATTGAGCAAGTCTGACTGTGATGAGATCATCAATCAGTACAAAGTGTTCAAGGAGGAGGAGGCTGCTGGAAATATGGCTTTCAAGAATTTCAGCAAGCATGTGAACCATCTGGATACTTTGTTCTACTTTAGCAACAAAGAATATCAAAAATTGTTCACAGGTTGCTGATAATCTCTCATGAACAGGCCTCGGTAGAAAGAGGTTTCTCAGTCAATAAGGAAATTTCCACTGACAATATGAAACTGCAGACTCTGGTTATACAGTGTATTATCACAGACTATTTAGCCACAGTTTGAGATGCTGGGAATGTTCCCATGACCAAGGCTCTTCTCTGCAGAAGAAGGTTGTATACTGTTCTGGCAAATGTCAGAACAACATACAACCAATACCTTGAGGCTGAGAAGAGAAAAAATGCAGGACACTTGGATTTCTTCACTGCTTTCAACTGATCTATATGACATGAATTATTGGAACCATCTGTAACTTTTCTTTAAACATCTCATCTGTCAAAGTATTAAAAGATAAATCACCAAGTTTGTTTTTGAAATTGATGACCATTCACTTTGTGTGTGCATGTGTATATGTACCATTTTCATCAATTAATATTTTACTTCATTTGGGAGAACATGAAGTAGATATGTCTCTATGTAGTTTCCAGATCAATAAGATATAAAAAATAAAAATATTGTTTGTAATATTATTTTTATTAATTCAGTTTGTTACTTGATTCATCTTTATTTAGTACGAATTAATTTTATATTTATTTCATTTGTGATTTAATTTAATTTCCAGGATACAGCAGGTCAAGAAAAATTCCATGCCCTTGGACCTATCTATTACAGAGACAGCAATGGTGCTATTTTAGTATATGATATCACAGATGAAGACTCTTTCCAAAAGGCTTGTATTTAATTCATACCTTTTTAATGCTTTTCATAATTGCAAATTCTTTTCTTTGTAAACTCACATTCATACAATTAGATATATCAATAGTATTTTAAAGACAATGTGAAATCAATAAGTTTGTGCTTCATAAAATATTTTTGAATTTTCATATTTAAGATTGTTAAATATCAGTATCTGTCAGTGTTGTCTAGATGACAGAAGCAAGTAAAATAAGTGTTACTTCTAAATTTGTTGTTTTATATTGTGATGCTTACATATAAGATTTTTTGGATAAATTTCTTACAAATCTCATTGTTGATAAATTTTCAAGAAGTTTTATGTGAATTTATTAAGCTATTTTGTTGAAAAACAAAATGAATTTTACCCTCTGATCTTTACAAAAACCAAGAATAACATCATACTATGTACAGTGTTCCAGCCTCATCTGTGATTTCACTTGCCCATGGTTGACCCTAAAAATAAATGATTCATAAGTTTTACTTAATAAAAGTTCCAAATTGCAGGAGTAGTGGTGCTGACAATCTAAATATGCCAAAGAGAAGTCATAAAGTGTTTTCTGTAAGTGAAAGTCCTTGAATTAATAAGAAAAAAGAAAAAAACAAATCATATGCTAAAGTTGCCAAGACTCTAGATTTATAACATTTATTATAGTACTAGTTTACTCGTGTTGTTAAAAATGGTGGCTCATTTTGTTGAGTTAAAAGGCTTTCATATGTGAGTCTTCATAGATTTCCAGTCTTTATAATTTACCTACTTCAGCATGTAGTGATCCTTGTTCTGACATTAGTTATCTTCCTTGCACCAGTGACTAAATTATAGACAAATATGTTGTCATCAAGATCATGGTCCACAACTCTGCTCTGAAATTAATTTTGAACTCCATAATTCTTTTCATGTCTGTATAATGTGCTTTACAAGGGCTACATACACTTTTGGATTCAAAGAAGACTCTCCCAGTCTGTTCTGCTAATTAACCCATAGCTGGTGTGAGAAAAGATACATTCATACCTTCCCAAAGAGTATTTGTGCAAAAGGAAATGTAACAAACTTGACCTAAATTCAAACTCAGCTTGTTGATTTCTCATTGCAAGCCATTAACCTTTATGCTACCTGAAGGTACTAGATAAATACACACTAGTAAGATATTGTTTATAATTGTTCCATTTTATTATTAGTTATTGTTGTTAATGTCTTATTGTGCCTAATTTATAAATTAAACTTTATCATAAGTTAGTACCTCTAGGGTTTGGGATTATCCATAGTTTCAGTTTAAGTTTATTCACTGCTGGGATCTTGAAACATATTCCCCACAGATAACTATAGAGACTACTGTAGAAGCAATGTCTCCTATCTTTTGTATATTCTAATTTTATTGATAATGTTAAAAACAAATCTGATATTAAGATTAGTTTCTGATGACCCTCTAAGATAGCATTTTTCGACCTTTTTACTCTTGTGGAACCCTTGAAATAGTTTTTGTCTCAGGGGAACCCCTGCATAAAAATTATTATTATATACCATTAATATCTAACTCTTTTATATTTTATTATAATATCCAAGAATTTTCCAACAATATGCCATATGTGTATAGTAAAATTACAAATATAAAATAAAACAAATATTACTCAAAAAATGCATTATCCTATTTATCACCATTCCTTGTGGAACACCAGTTGAGAAACATTACTCTAAGCTATCTCCCTTTCATCAACAATATGTAAATTTTCTATTTTCATATTTACAAAAGTCTGCATAAGTAGTTAATTAATATTTCTCTGATTTAGTCTGTTGGACATAGATTTTTTTTATTTTTTTTTTCTTGAAATCAATTGTTCATCACAGATGTGATTTTGTATATGTATCATTTATATACAGCCATTAACTATGACTGACTGGCATTTCCCTTGTTGCAATGTTCTATGACTCAAGCCATGAATGACAAAAATTTGCATCAATCATACACACAAAAGGCCAAAAGTTTTGTCTTATTGGGATTACTAGAAATCCAGTTCTGTGACTCAGGGCAACAAATATGCATTCTTTCCTCCAATCAATCAGTATTCAGAAACTATTTAGTCCATGAGAGTAATTTCAAATTCCTTTTCTCCTCTCTAAAAATGCTGAAACTAGTTATTATCAATAAAAATAAATATATATTTGTGAAAGTGATCACTCAAGTTTAGATCTATGATCTTGTATCATCTAATAATGAAGAAATATATTATTAATGTTAAAATTGATTATTTAAGGGATAATAAACCAAGCAAATATTTCACAAACTGATCATGCATTGGGAAAAAAAACTTGTAGTAAAAAAAATACAAAAAAAAAAAACAATAATCCTGATAATGATTTAAAGAGTTTGGTGTCCGTTCAAAGTGCCGGAATAATTTTAAAAATCATCTGCTACATAAAAGGGGATTTTTGTAAATAAATATTTCAGTAATTATCCGTCATTCATGTAAATAAATACACACAGAATAAGGATAGGCAAAAGCTCCAACTCACCAATACTAATAAAGATCAAATATTTTTAATGGCTTCAGTTAAAACTTGTTACACGAGTAGATGATAAACCTGAAAATTAATTCACTCTTTATGCTACCTTTTGAATTTTGGGGAAATAAAAAAAAAAAAAAAAAAAAATGTAATTCTGATATCTTTATGAAGATATGTTTTTTTTTTTTCTTATCATTTTATTCCAAGCAAGGCAATAAAGCTACTAAGACACAAAGGATAACTGAGTGATAGAGAATATGAGGAGAAAAAAAAAGATTAATAAGAGAGAACAATAAAAGGGCAGAAATTAAGAAGACAGAAAGTAATGATTGATATTGCATTAAAATTTTTGAAAATCATAGTTGACAGGCACACACTAATGGATTGATTTTTTTTCTCTCTCTCTTTAAGGTGAAAAACTGGGTAAAAGAATTACGCAGGATGTTAGGGGATGACATATGCTTGTGCATTGCTGGTAATAAAATAGACTTGGACAAAGATCGACATGTATCTGTCTCAGAAGCAGAAAGGTAGGACACTAACTTCAAAACCATAACAATGTAGAAGATATACACAAGTTTAAGTGGGCAAATATATATATATATATATATATATATATATATATAAAACTTTTTTCTTTCTTTTTTTTTTTTTTTTTTCTTTTTTTTTACATTACTGGAGTAATTTTTTTAATGATACATGTATATTCATATATAACAGAACTTGTCGTAGAAAGTCCCCCCCCTTTAAATTTATATGATAAAACTCCCATTTAATTTGCTGATATATTTTAGTTATTTACTTTTTTTCCCCCCATTAAATCTAAATTATGATAAATTGAGGGGAGAAAAGAATAAATTTTGTTTGCTGTACTTGTCACTTTTCAAAGACATTGCAAATGTAATTGGGTTTGTTACTTGTTCCATTGTATTTTTAATTTCAAACACTTAATTTATAATTAGTGAATCAATTTTTGTTTCTGTATTCAATCTATTATTGATTTTTGTAAAGATTTATTTAGAACTGTTTTTGTTTTGTAGCTATGCAGAATCCGTTGGGGCAAAACACTTCCACACTACTGCAAAACAAAATAAAGGAATTGATGAAATGTTTTTAGATATTAGTAAAAGTGAGTATTTGTTTTAAATATGAATCTGATGTTTTTCTTAACTTTTCTATAGTGTAGGATTTTCATGTAACCATAGATTTAATTTTGCAGTTTGAAAAACTAGTATCGGTCTCGGATAAAAAAAAACTTCCAAGATTATTACCCTGAACAGAATCTTGCTTAATGCACCCTATCCAGAGTGAAAGTGTATACAATATCAGGAATAGCATAATTAACTGTTTACCACTTTTTCTGTGTTAATTTTCTAAATTTATTAAAATTCATTTTAGAGAATAAATTGATATGTTAAGGTAAATTTATCTTGAATCCATTAAAACTTTGTTTCTTTCTTTACTTCTCTCCACTTCCAGATACACATCCTTAAGCAAATAAAATGGATTTTTATTGTCCTTGGTATAAATACTTTAAAATATTTTCCATTGTGTATACCAGTAATTATATCACTATTGTTTTATTTACAAACTTGCATTATTCAAAGTTAAAATAAGTTGTGAAATAAGCAAAACATTTATATATCCATTTGATTTTAAGATACTTTTTAATCTTGTGATTAACAAAAATATGTGTTTAACAAAATATGTGTTTATAAATTTTGATTTCTGATTGAGGGGAACATGATAATTCAAATATTTCTATTGAGACTATTGAGATTGAGACTATTTACATTATTGAGACTATTTACATTATTGAGACTATTTACATTATTGAGACTATTTACATTATTGAGACTATTTACATTATTGAGACTATTTACATTATTGAGACTATTTACTATTATTGAGACTATTTACATTATTGAGACTATTTACATTATTGAGACTATTTACATTATTGAGACTATTTTATTATTGAGACTATTTATTTGAGACATTATTTTGAGACTATTTACATTATTTATTTACATTATTGAGACTATTTACATTATTGAGACTATTTACATTATTGAGACTATTTACATTATTGAGACTATTTACATTATTGAGACTATTTACATTATTGAGACTATTTACATTATTGAGACTATTTACATTATTGAGACTATTTACATTATTGAGACTATTTACATTATTGAGACTATTTACATTATTGAGACTATTTACATATGCACATATGCTAAGCCACAAAAATCTCCTGAGCCAACCAAGCATAGAAATGAATACAATATGGGAACCAGTAATAAGGAGTGCCAGAGAAAAGCAATAATAACGAAAATTGCAATATGAGCTCTGGTAAGAACATGTAATATGAATACTGGTAAAAAATGATTGCTGAGGACATTAGGTTTATAATACCCAGAAATTCACACACATGTCCTCAAGGACACATGGCACAGTGGATAAAGGCGTTATTTAGATGCAGTGACAGGACCCAAAGCATGAGTATGGTTAAGGCGGTGGAGAACTCGGAGAGGGGAATTAACAAGAGATAACTGATATCCATTAGACATGGCACATGGAACTAGAACAGTCTAGCCCAGCGAGCAAAATAAAGGGTTCAGTTCAACATTCCAACCACCTGAAGAAGGCCAGAGTGTACAATGGCCGAAACGTTGTGATAAATATGGCAACAAAGATGAGGGTGATAGTCTGAATAATGTAAATAGTGATAATTCAAAGTTCCTCAAGTTTAGTTTTTGTAATGATGGAATTTCCAGCCAAGAAACTTTTTTTTTTCTTCTATCAAATAGTGAAAAATTCCCGTATAAATATCAAGCATTTTGTAAGAAAAAGATATAAGCCTGATTTTCCTCTGTTGGTTTAGGATATTTTTTCTTTGGTTTTTAAAAAAGAAAAAGTATAAATTATAAATTTCCATTTCTAAATGTAGGCAAAAATGGATAAATAATAAATTTTATGAATGCTTTTTTTTGTAAATCATAAATCCTTAAAAAAAAATTATGTAAGCCACATGGTATATTTATATATAGGATGAAAATTTCATCAACATCAGTTAATGCCCATTTTATTGTGAAATAATTGATAATAAAATCTGACATCTGCACACTATAATAAGTAAACTTGATAAAAATTAACAGTATTTTTTATACTTTGCATTCTAATGTAAATATTCAAAATACTTTGAAGGCAAATTATAGAATTGTCATAGTGCAATAATAGATTTCCAACTTCAAATATTTGAGATTGATTGCAGAAGTGAATGATTTTCCTATTCTGAGAATCCATTTTTCTCTTCCAGGTATGATAGAAAAAGCTGACAGCAGTAACCAGAACAAGAAAAGCACCAACAACCGAAAGAGTGTAATGGTGGTTGATGATGAACAGGGAGAACAGAAGTCAAAAGGAGGTTGTTGTTAGCTACGCTACAACATCATCATTTTGCAAGTGTTCTTGATTGTGTGTGTGTGTGTGTGTGCGCGCGCATGCCAGAGAGAGAGTGCATGTGAATGAGACAGTTATATTTGACTGTGTCAGCATCTGCTGCTGCTGCTGCTGGGTAGATGGATGGAAAAAGAAAGGTCTGGAGGTAGAAGGAAAATCTATAGACAAAAGTTACTAATGCCTTGATGCTGTAAATTGTCTCTAATTTTGAGGGAATGAATCATGAAATTAGAAAGTTTTTTTTTGTTTTTTTTTTCCTAGGGTTGGTTGATTTTGTTTTTGTTGTATTTATGGATAAAAACTTTTCAATCAGGAATTTCTAATATCATCAGATGGAAAGCTGTTCTTACTGCTTGACCCCACTGATTGAAATGTTAATGTTCACAAATCAAAGGTGAATGGCCGAGTCCAAAATCTCTCAATATCTTTTTGCTATTTGATATTCACTTGGAAGTTCAGTTCTTCCTACCTCAATTTATTTTTTCTTCTTTCTCTAACTTCTGATGTTTCCTCTAATACCACTGAATGAGTATGACATTAACGATGGTGAGAAACGTCTGCTTTACACACATGGATGAAAAGATCAAGAGTGTTGACGATTTCTGGCAGTTAAAAAAAAAAAAAAATGTTCAGTTTTTCACTAAACAAACTGACAGAATTTGAACTCAAAATAGTGATACAGATATTTGGTTTATATTTCAACCCATATCCACTTTGATAAGTATATTTATATGCTTATAAATCAACAATGCCCAATTACATGTCTAAATAATTTATGTATATTCAAGCCTAATTGGCCAGTCTTATTTCATATCATCATATTGGACTGATTGGCTTAGTTTTGAGCCTAAATAAAATATAATTTGGACAAGTCTTTCACACTTCATGTCCAGTATATTCATGCACTTGTAAAATCTGCTATAGCCAACTGATATAAGCAGAGAGCATAATATAATATTGGGTCTTTCATTTAGTTGTATTAAAATGGCTCTGAAGTCAAAACCCAGAAACCATGATGGCCTATTTTGACATGCTTACTGCAATCAGTTTTATTTGTCTATTCACAAGAACTGGATTGACAAAGATATGTAACAGAAAAGTGCATCATATGGTGCCTCAACTAAACTTGTTAACTTCTCACTGAATCTTGTGACTGGCTTGGATTTGACACTCTGAATCATTATCCAGTCCATAATAAACTTTGTGATTTTTTTTATTATTTTTATTTTTATTTTTTTTCCACACCATACCAACTGTGGTTAGTATGTGGTTATTGTAAGATATTTGCCCCATTCAGTGGGCATAATATTCAGCAAATATGCTGAGTGTAAATCACCATCCACATTAAACTAAAAGTGGGAGATTGTTTATTTGGATGGGAGCCTTTGGAGTGGACACTTTCAATTCTTTTCACTATTTGGCATTGTTCTAAATATGCAAAGAAACTTTTCTTTTATTTAATAAGGTCTAAAATAAAACAGTGGGGGAACAAAATATGAAGAAACCCACAAAAAAATAGTTTCAGATTTTTAAATGAACACAATTTTTTTTTTATGTTGCAAGTCACGTAAAAGTAACTTGTTGGGATTTTAAAAAGATTTTTGTTCTAATTTTGTTTTTCAATACTAAATGATGGATTTTTTGAGAAAGTTGTAAAACTTTTTTTTTTTTTTTTTTTTTTTTTTTTCTCCTTAAAATCTGTTTTATTGCTTAAAATTAGGCACACAATTTTAATGTTTTGTTTGTTTTATTTTTACAAAAATAAAAATATGAAATTCTTTTTCTCTTTGTCTGTCACTGGGTGTCTATTTAATGCATCTACATCCATGTGTCATTTGTATTTTTTTATGAAAATTGGTATTATTTTTAGTGAAATAATTTACTTTCCAACTGATATCTCAAAAACAAAAATTGTAACTAAAGAATTAAAATGCAAACACATCATTAAAATAACTGCATAATATGACAAGTCACTTGCCCTCATTAATAAAGAAAAGTTTATCGAAAATGCTCTGGAATATTCCATGCCCATAAATAGTAAATATCATGTAAGCAAAAAAAAAAAAAAATTGAAAATGTGAAAACAAAAAAAATTAAATTAGATGTAAAAAGATGTCCCATGATAAGCATACCAAAAATAAAATTACTTTGTTAGCTTCATTTCTGCACATCTTCTATACAGATTTATGTATACATTTCATAACTGGCTTAAAAAAAGCTATGATGGAATCCTCCCAAAGCAACTGTTATTTGCAGTATGCTTCATAAATTTCCAATATTTAAAACTACACTGACATGCAAGTATAAGTAATTTGAACTGTTCATCAAATTACTAATATTTACTAAAAGGAATTAACTATAATCTAAAATATTCTGTATGCTTTGCAAAATACTGTGTGCAGTTTTGTTATATAACAACCTTCCATCAATCACATATTCCTTCTCATGACTTTACATCTCGTCATCTCTCCAATTTGTGCAAATACCTATATGAAGACTATCATCAGCCTTAAGCATGTGAATTCCATTAAAAAAAAAAAAAAAATGGAATTTTCATTGTCTTGTCTATTTTTTTCCCTTATTTTATTTTCAGAGTTTATTTATATTCTATGTACATTTCAGACAAGTTTGAAAGAGATAAAAGAATAACCCAGCTGACACAAATGACACATGTCTAAACCCACCCGATCCTATTTCCCCCCTTTAAAAAAAAAAAAAAATCTATGATTTAAAAATATTGTAAAATCTTGAAAAATAAATGTACTCAAATTTTTAGAGCTGCTGTTTGGAATGTGGTTATTTTATTGTAATTTCTAAGCATTTTATTTTTCAATATTTCTCCTGCAGCAGCATGGATTGTCTTTTTTCTTCTTCTTTTTTTTTTTTTTTTTTTTTTTTTTTTCCAGCTGTGTATACATGGGTTTGGAGATGCTCCTGTTCCCTTTTCTTGGCTAAATATAGGTGAGGTTGTTTCCTTGTTACAATCTGCCATGACCCAATAAACAAAAATTAGTGACTTTGGTAGCTTTTAAGTGTTAAACTTTTGTTATACTGTAAGTATTAGAAGGCAAACGATAGTGAATGATTTCTGTGAAATTACCTGTGTTGGTCTTGTAGAAGGCATAAAAACAATAATACATTTGTAAACAGATGAGGTCCCCACTTGTAGCTTGTAGCATTAAAATGAGAAAAATCCTGTAGTAGATCAAGCAGAGATTGATGAGAGCAAGAACTAATTAAGAATCTTAATTAAAATCTATAACAGAATAGTGAAACCAGCAAGGATTAAATGCTGGTTCAGCTTGGAAGGATTGATTAAAAATTTCCTAGATTGGAATTGATTAATGGTTTCTTAAATGAAACATAAATGAATCTACCCTGTCTAAATCCACTCAATCCTATTCTCCATAAAGAAAATTTGTTTTGATTTCATACTATTCAGTTAATTCAACACTGAATTATAAAAAGGGTCAAATTCTAGGAGTTGGGATACTTGTCAGCATTAGGGACATCTAGTTTTCAGACAAAGAATTTTTAGGATTTGAGATTAATTGCGAAATATTAGTAGAGCATCATTGTCAGGGTAAAGGCAAATTTTCTTTTTAAGGAACACACCAGGTAATGAGATGGTTGGGTCTGATTCATAACAAACCATTAAATCGAATTTTCACTTTTTCAACTGGTTCACTTTACCAAAGAAAAAAAAAATTAAAGGGAGATGACTTGTATCTGAATGGTCAGTCAGTTAAGAGCTATAGGTGATACATGCTTGGGCGATCATGTCTTGATTCATGACTAAGAAAGCAATTTTCCTGCATTAGATTGTTGTTTCTTTTTGTGGCTATAGGACTCAGTTTTTCCTGCTATTCAATTCTGGGAGGAGAAGAGATCAATTTATATCTTTCCCAAGGGTAATGTAACAAACCTGATTGGGATTCAAACTTGACTGATTTATCATTCCCAGTGGCTATCATTTAATATTACACATTAATTTGCTTATTTATGATGATGAATAAAGTCAGTTGGTGTTTTTTTTTTTTTTGTTTGTTTAATTTTGTTTTTTTAAGAGGGTTCAAATAATCCTCTTTAAAAAAAAAAAAATGACTTATTATTTATTATCATAAATAAGCAACATCAAAATAAATGTTGAAATCAGTTAAAGCTAGGTAATTTTTCCACCGGGATAACAATAAATATGAATTAAAAAACACTAATAAAAATAAAAAAAAAATTTTTTTTTTAAGTAATATGAATTAATGTTGAAAACTTAAGACATTTGATTTATATATGCATGTAATTTGGATTTGTTTTTTATATATATTTCTAGAATAGAATCAAAAATACTAAGCAATATTACATGAATTTATAGAGCAAAAGGTAATCGTTACTCAGATTTAAAGTTACCTCCCTTTAACAGTTTCACTGAGGCCAGTTTTCAAACAGACATTTGCTGTTATGATTGCCTCCCAAGATGGTTCAACTACTGTTATATTGTATGTGCTTCATATTGCTAGAAACCAGTCTTTGTTTTTGCTTTTTTTTTTAACCAGCTACCCACATCCTTATAAACAGAAAGCTCTGAATGCCTAACAGTTGTGGTCATTATTGATTGTGCATGGAAATCAACAATATTCCATTTTAGTCAACAAAAAATTAAAAAAGAGGAAATGGAAGAATCCTTTACATCAGTGGTTCTCAACCAAGGTTCATGTAACATTACTGGGGATTTGGGAGTCCACAGTAATATTTTAGTGGTCCATAGAGTAATTTTACTTCAGAATGGTTGTTATAACTGAAAATTAAAATTTTTACAGTAATTTTCTATATTAAAATACTAAAAGTAGAGAAAACAACTCTAAAACTAGCAGACAACAAGATCAAGTGATGTAAGTTAGCATCCCTTTTACTCATCTGAATGTTTTGATTGTGAAAAAATTTAAAATGTCTTATGAGTTATTTTATTAGTGTACATAAAT